GTTTGCATGAGTCCTCTGAAAGTGTTGCATAAATGCCCAGGATAATGCCAGGATTGTAGAAGTTGAGAGGGGCGATGGATGCTCTTTTTTCCAGGCTCTCTCGTGCTGTTGTTGGCTTTCATTTTCATTAAAAACCACTGGTCTTTGGCTTTTGGATGTTTGCTGTTGGTCTCTCTGACCTGTTCCAGAGTAGTGTCAGCAGGTTGTCCACGTGTGGCGCAACCAGCAGTATGGCTTCTGCAAGAAACACCAGCCGGCAGGAACAATGGCATTGCTCTCTGGACTCTGCCCCTGTGGACGGCAATTCTGGTGAGTGACTTCTCGGCGCCAAGATACTTGTGACCTCCTCACTTCTGTTGCAACACCCTTCTTCGTATGTCTTTTTTCGATTTCAGCCTTTAATTCGATGATTCTTTCCCCCCCCCCCCCTTTCCCATGAGTGATAGCGAAAAGACAGAATTCCAGAATGCGAAAATCACATTGAAAGCCAGAAAGTCCAACGCTGTCGAGAAAGCAGAAATGTGCCGATATATCACCAACGGAGAACCAAAGCACCGAATCCGAAAGTCAATGAGAGCATACTCTCGCCACCACCAACATTGTATCAGAGCCCTTCCTCCTACTTGGTGCTCAACGCCCAGACTATGATCACGCAGCTACTACCAACCTACACATTGACATTCCAACCTGTTGACGTCAGCAGCAGAACCGAAGTACATGAAGAGGTCGACCCTTGTAGACCATCGCCAAGACTAGGTACGTGCCCTCACATCATCAACCCCATCTCTCTCTCACACCCTTGACTTCATCACCCACGTCTTCTCCCTCGTACACGAAGACCACCACCACCTCCACGGGCTATTCAAGCCTAGCCCTGGCTACGTGGGGCTGGCTATGACGCTGCCCTCAGCAGCACCCTGCCTTCTCGCACGACCTCACGTGCGCACACACTTGCCCATGCACTAACGCAGCAGCCTGCGAGCGCTAGCTCCAGCAGCACTGCCACATCTGCTCGCAAGTGCCCGACCCCCGACGCGGTGCCCTGCCCCTTCCTATATGGAAAGCGGCGGGCACTTTCCACTTGCTTCCCCCGTGAGGCTGAGTTTCCAGTAGCTTCAGTCTCGGCCAAAGTGTCTGCTCCCAGGCCCTTTCAGACAGTGGCCTGGGACCGAACTGGTTAGGCATGCCCAACCACCCAGTCACTGACGAGCGGTGCTCCCTGCGTCGACCACATTGCTGGAAGGCTCACAAATATTTTGGATTCTCACGAGCAAGGCGGATGTAACCAGTTGGTGCGTGTCAACTGTCTGGTGCCCAACAATTTTTGCAAAAATTGATGAACTCAGGGCACATCGAGATTTTGGGGGGCTGCCTTCATTTAGGGCGGGCACGCGCCTGCTGCAGGGCCTTAAGCCGATGGGTAAACCCTCGCACTCCCTACTCCTTTATATTGATAGTCTTCTGACTGCTTCCCTTCTTGTTTTCATAACTGGAGATAATTTGGGGAGCAGTCGTCGTGAACTCTTTTGTTGTGAACCTCCGATCTTCTCCAGGATCAGTATGGTGTCTGAAGCGCACTCGATACTGCATCTGCGGTTTTGGAGGGTGTACCCTGCCTGGAGGCTTGGGCACAGGCATCAGCTTGTGCTTGACGATGTCGTCGATATCCACATGTCCGTCCATGGTTGGG